TTGATACAAGCCTAGCAACTGAAGCGAAAAGCTCGAGTGCGACCTTGAACTCAAGTTCCTTGATCTTCTCCCTGACGAGCTCGCGGATTCTGGGCCGGTGCTCAATTGTGGCAGGCGCGGCAACTTTTGGCATTGCCGGCACGGAAAACTTTTGGGAAGTGGCTGGAATGATTTCCCAAACATTGCCTACAAGCTTTGCAGTTGCAGGAGGGCATTGAGTTGCAGGCGAAGATTTCTTCTTTTTGCCCTTGCTGCCAGACGATGATGCTGGCTTTTCCTCCTGCTCCTTTGCTGCATTCTTGGCTTCTTCCTCGATGATCTGCTTTCTTTCTTGAGGGTTCAACATCTTCCACAGTTCCGAGTCGATCCCTGCCGGACGCTTTGAACCTTTGTAGTTACGTACAGTCCGGTGACCATCCCAATGATATCCATCTGGAATTATTTCACCTTTGGGGGTCAATTTGAGATTTGGGAATACGGGCGCTTCAGGTGCATCAGGCTCGACATCGCTGTCGGCTGGTAGAGGCGTCCCTGGCTCGTATTCATACTCATCTTGTGGCGGATGCAAACTAGACTCAAACGGCACAGCTTTGTGTGTCTGCGGAATGACTTGATCCTCGAGGCGGTCGGCTTTGGGTGCTTTCGAGTCGATCAGAGCTTTCAAAGGAAAGATGAAACCCTCGGACGGCAATTCCAACCTCTTCGTTCTTTGAATTGTCAGTGCACCCCAGTTGACATGATAGTCTGCAGCTTCCAACTTGGCAACTAAGTATTCACCCTTCCAATCATGACCTGGTTGGATGTAATACCCAAGGAAAATTCCTTCATTTGCTGTTGGGGAGAGTTTACCTGATGTGTTATCTAACCTTTTGGGATTGTTCCAGAACAACACTTTGGCACCAAATGGAATGTGCATTGCAGGGAACTCTTCACCAAACCTGAGTTGCCACGGGGATTCACTGCCGTCAAGCTGGGGGCTTGCATTGATCGCGGTCGCATGATGCTGCATGGCCAATGGCCACATCTTCAAAGGAAGTCCTGATTGCAACAAGTTGCTCCGGGCACCTTCCAACATCTGACGAACCTCGCGCTCAGCAAAAGACTTTGATGAATCTACATATTCAATAGATGTTTGATGTCTATAACCCAAATCCTTGATGGCCCTGATCAACTCCGGGGAATTGTCAGTGTACACAACTTGAACCTCATCCTTTGATCCAATGAAGTGATTCAAACCATCAACACAACTTTGTGAGTCCTTTGATTGGCTAGGGTAGACATATCGATATTGGGTGTGCAGATCTTTCAACACCAATGCAACTTGCTCCCCCCTGAAACCCTCTTCTACATTCTTCTTAATGATGACATGGTCACCAATGATGTGGTCACCGAATACTTCAGTTTCAATTCTCTTCTGACCACCTTTCTTCCTTGCCTGAGGAGCCATCATTCTTGCTCGTTGGCAGGTTCTGCAAAATGGGTTCTTGGGGAAATGAGTGTACTGATGTTGGGTACTTGCAGCTTCGGCCAACAGATCCCCAGTCTTGCGGCTTCGGATGTACTCCTGCTGAGCGTCATCCTCCACCAGCTCATCCAGTTGCTCTTCGTCTTGGGCTTCGTCCCTCTTGGCTTTTGAGCTCGACCGTGAGGTCGGCATTGCAAACAACTTTCTAAGGTGCTTATCCTTTTGAAATTGATCTTTGGGATAAACCTTGCAACTGTCATCCAAGACTGGGACATGACCTTCGATCTTGAGCTGGACAACCTTGTCATCTGGACGGACTAGGATGGGTTTACCATTGGCAGGCCAGACAAAACTGTAGCCCTGATCTACACATCTGGTTCCTACGGAGAGTACAGCTGGGGTATGATCAAGTACATACGGATGCACTGGATCTGGCAATGCGGACAACTTGACATCAGCAACCTCATTGGCCTCAGTCGAACCGTTTGCTGTAACTAAGGAAATCGGATGCTCGGCTGCACGGCAGTTCTTGGCGCTAACATCCCTTAGCATACCCTTGGACACAAGATCGGATTCACTACCTGAGTCGACAAGCCAACTGACGCCGGCCTTTGGCGCGGCCGTGGCAATTGACGGAAAACGACCTATGTCTTTGAGAGCTTTGGGACCGCTGACGAATCTGCATTCTTTGCAAGTGATGTCGCATGTATCCTCATTCCAACAACAAAACCCACAACTAGGTGCAACATCTGAATCATGAAGTTTCACAGTTTCTTGAAGCTGTCTTGCACGAACCTGAGCCTCATGTTGTTCAACCTTGGACGAAACCGGAACATCTTCAGCTGTCTTGTACACCTTAGTGAACTCTCTTGGACGGTGCTTGACGGGGACTTGACGACCGACTGCCTTCACCTCGATCACATGTGGGACCTTTCGGAATCTAAGACGCTTCATGCTGACACTTGACTCATCAGAGCACGAAGTTGCCTTCGGCTGTTTCCGGGCAATGCAGGCAAACTTCTGGATCAGGCATGGAGCGGCTGTTGAGTCTTTGCTCTTCTTTTTGGGAGCAGGTGAATTGGCCCTTTTGGCGTCTTTGGTGGCGGCAGCGGCTTTGTCATCATGCTTATAAAAACATTTGTCACCACGTCTACACTTTCCCTGGGCATGATAGATACATGGGGTCTTGGCCATTTCTTCTTTAGACATTTTCTTCCCCTTATCATCTTTGTTGCCCCTTGATGGTGAACGTGTTTTAGTTCTTCTGGGTGATTGCATTCGAGACTTATCCTCTTTGACATGCTTAAATGGACACTTCTTCCCCTTATCACAGGTACCCTTTTGGAACTTGTAGCAAATTTTATCACCCTTGCCACCTCGTTCCTGCGATCTACCACGACTCGGGGAGCCCTTTCGGCCACCGCGACCATCGCCTTTGGCGGGTGCGGCCTTTGTGTCCTTGATCCCAGCCTTGTTCTTCTCTGCAATGCGGTTCCTGTTTTCCCTCAATCGTTCACGGTCGATCAGGTTCTTCATGGATTGGTGAAGAAAACTATAGGACTTTTCATGGGATTTTTCATGTGCACGGTCAAACATCTCAATGTCATATTTCAGCAACTGACTTGGTCGGATCTGTCTCAACAAGATGTCCCTTAACACAGCATCATCGGGGGTGACAGCCATGCCAGCTAGGGTAGCATCCCATTTGTTGATGAATCTTCTGAGATCCTGGACAGTATCGCCTACTTTGACAACACCCAAAAGGTCTTCTACTCTGTAAAGGCTACCTGCTTCTTCTGATGTTTTGAAGTAGTCCTCAAACATGAGCAGAACGTACCTTCCCCTGACCTGGATGCCTTTTCGGGATTGTTGCTCTTTGAAATTCAGGATCCTAGTTGCGAGGTCCCCTCCGGCTGAGCGCGTGAGCGCTGCTGATAACTTTGTATCCAGCGTAAGGAACTTCCCAGGATCTTGAAGCTTCTTCTCCAACTGCTCTCTAGTGCACTCCTGATCGTACACCTCGTTGAGCCAGAGCCACGCTTCGTCTGGACGATCTGAGCAACTCTTCACCTCATCCCTGACATGATTCTTCCAAGTCCTGTATGACTCCGGAGCGGGCATGTTGTTCAGCTTGATGATCTCGGCCTCCTTAGTCTTTGGCTTATCCTTTTCTTCCCTATGGGTTAAGGCTTTCACCAATTCAATAAGATCTGAGGGACCCATCACTTGCTGTTGTTTGGTTACGCTCTTAGGAGAGTCATTTGGGGGGGTTTTGATAGCTTCAGTGGGAGTGAAAAACCCTGATTGCGTTGGCAACTGGGGCTGGTCGTTGCCGACAGCCGGTTTCTGTTTGGGACTGCCACCTTTGAGCAGCTCATCCAACTTGGCTTTTGCCTCTTGTGCCAACACTGCAGGCGTCTTCAACTCTTGAATCGGCTCATCACTGCCCTTGGCAGCCTGTGCATCGGATGCTCTCGGAGTGGCAATATTGAAGTGGGGCACGCTAGTGGTAGCGGCCGGCTCGGCATTCTGGACGGATGCTTTCGGAACGGAGGCATGCTGCGCTTTGGCAACATGCTTTAACTGCTCCTGAAGGTCATCGATTTGGTCCTGAAGGCTGAGATTCTGAGCCGCTGCCTCGTTGATCTTCTCGGCCATTTCCTTTTTGTAGTTTTCGAATTCCGTTTTCAAACTAATGAACCTGGCCTGATCAATTGCAGCCTGATCTTCATATTGCTTCTTCGTGGCGGCTATGGCATTCTTTGCATGTTCAACTGTTTGTGCATAGGAGGCTTCGAATTCACTAGTGATACGTTGCCTTTCCTCTGCAATCTTCTGATCATGCTTTGTGTTTGCCTCTACCTTGAAGTCTTCTACCCTTTTGTCATGCGATGCCTGAGCCTGACTAAGCCTGACCTCTAACTCGTCGCCTCTTTTCCTTTCCTCATTGACTGCTCCAATTGCCTTGTTCTCTACATCCTGCAACCTTTGCTCATACTCCTGCTCTTGCATTACGAGCCTATTTGACCATTCACTTCGGATTGAGTCAACTACTCCATGCATTATCTGAAGGTGCCTCTGTTCAGCTTCCCTCATGACTGGTGATTTGGAATAGGTTGTTTTGTATGAATGTAAAGTACGCTACGACAGGTTGGAACATCGTTTCGTCATCCATCGGCTCGGAGTTGCCTCCGGCCACATTGGGCACAGCAATGGCCGATGGACCTGACCCTGGAACGGCGAGAGGAAGGTCAGTTGTGGTCCCCATAGCAAAGTAGTGAGACTACGGCTGATAACCTGTATTTTACCAGGTCAACCGACAATGGGGTAAAATCCGCTAAGCTGCTAGCACTTTTGAACCAACGCTATCGGGTAGATCGATGATATATACAATACATGGTTTTACTGCAGGAGTTTTTACACATAGCCCATATTCTGACATTTTGGGGAACAGAAAATCTTGAAACGGTCTGCCATGTTTCGAGGTTTAGCATGGTTTAGGTGTGTTTAGCGCCATCCATCGCCCCATCTTGAGGTTTTGTGATCGCCCTGCGGACCTTGGTTCAATCCATCTTCCACACGTTGAAAGCGTTGCTGTGGGCGCTGCTTTTGCTTCTTCTCATCGTCTTCGTTTTCTCCGTGCTCTTCGCCCAGGCGATCAGCGATTTCACCATAGACCTGGAAGAGCAGAATTTGGAGGCGTTGTTAATGCTGCTATCATCTGCTATCATTTTCATTATTTTTTCTTTTTAGAGAGATAAGGAGAGTGGAGGGATGTCCATGGTTACAATGGCAACATAGCTTGAGAAGAATTCAGAAGCATGTGACTAGGTTTCATGTAATCCATGTGGCGCGAGAAGAGCGGTGCACGGTCAATAATTGCAAAACAGATCAAGACTGATCAAAACCGTCTTCATCACAATTGTTAACGTTTTTCCTGACATGAGAAATGGCGACGTTTTCATCACGGGGTTCATGTGCAGATAAGTGACCGCATTTGTTGGAACCAATGAAATTTCAAGGTGCCTCCGGTCCTAGAAGAAGAAGGGCGTCGCTATTTTGGCAATCTCCCACTGAGCATGTTGAGTCTATTCATGAGCATTGCAGGTGGTGTGTCTTGGGAGGAAGTCTTAAAGCCGTTGCTTCATGTCTCTTCCTTGTGGGCACTTTGCTTCATTTTCTACATTTGTTTCTTGGCCTCTTGAAGCCGTGATCGACTTTTCAACTTTTGCTGTTTTCACATCTATTTTTGATCTATACTGCCACAACACGTCAGGAATAAGGCCTATTTTGATGCAACGTTTCCCAAAGATGGATACACATAACAGAGCTTCAATTAGAAAAACTCAAAAAGAAGAAACACATGAATATATGTATTTGTTTGTCTATGTATTTTATTTATTTAGGCTTCATGGTTTTTGTTTGAATTCTCCGCGTAAATCTCTAGACAAACTACAAACTTATCTAGAAACAAGTCCAGTCTAAAGTTGGTCCAAGCTTCAGAGACTATTAAAGAAATCATCCTGTGAGAACTATTCCATTCAGCTCTGATCCGCCGTAAGTCCATTCCCATTCCTTCATTCCTTCGTCTATTCATTAATTCTCTCATTCCCTCATTCTTTCTTCCTTGCATTCATTCATCCGTTCATTCGTTCATTCCTTCCTTCATTCCTGTATTTGCACATGCCCAGAGAACACCCTGTATAACAGATATGACTTGCAGCATCGCGGCTTAGTGAAAAGGGATTGAGCGGCTAGCTTAACGGATTTTAGGTTTATCAGTATCAGTCCATTTGGGTAATAAATAGGCTACCGCCCCCTGCCGCCGACCCCCAAGTCAAGGGGGTTAGCGCGGCTTAGAATGGTTCGAGACCATCGTCGTGTCTGCGGACAACGTTTCAGCGTTAAAGATGGGAAAGTCATTCCGCCGAGCATGTACAGTCACAGCTGCCCAAAGTGCGGTGCGCAAGTCTGGCCGAAACTCGAAAGTGGACGAATCCAGGTCAAGCATAAAAACACGAAAGGCAAAACTTGCTCTTGCGACCGCTGGGTGGCGAAACAGTGAAAACAAAAAGCCCATCGTCTCCACACCGAAAGACGGGACATAGCTTTCGAAAGAAAACGAGGTCAAGAATAGCGTCTTATAAGACGCCAGAACACCTTGCCAGGAGGTGCCCGAAGGCCCCGAACCATGGACATGGCCGGAGCACTTTTGAAGTGACGTTTCTCAAAATCCGCACGTGGCTGGAGCGCACGGTGTTCTGGTGTGGTGGGGGCTCGTTTTTTTGGCATCTTGGGGATGCCATTTCTGGACCTTGTTTTCTTCGAATCAGAAAGCAACGTTAGACACCGGCCATGTCCATGGTTCGGGGCCTTCGGGCACCTCCTGGCAGGGTGTTCTGGTGTGGTGGGGGCGCGTTTTTTGGCATCTTGGGGATGCCATTTCTGGACCTTGTTTTCTTCGAATCAGAAAGCAACGTTAGACACCGGCCATCTCCATGGTTCGGGGCCTTCGGGCACCTCCTGGCAGGGTGTTCTGGTGTGGTGGGGGCGCGTTTTTTGGCATCTTGGGGATGCCATTTCTGGACCTTGTTTTCTTCGAATCAGAAAGCAACGTTAGACACCGGCCATGTCCATGGTTCGGGGCCTTCGGGCACCTCCTG